AATCAGGAAAACTCTGTACAGCTGGTTCAATTCAGATGTGGCTGGAGACAGCAGAACTACCAACTTGTGAGGCTTGTGTCAGTGGTTACAAGGCTCTCAAAAGGAGGTCACACCTTTGTAGTTGCTAAATCATAGTCCTTCAATACTGCAAAACTACTTAAAAAAAAATCAGGTGTTGAGTTCAGGTGATACCTTTTAACAGTAAGATGTTACTGGGATTAGCCAACTCCATGGTCCCCTTTGATCTCAGGCTGAGCTATCACAGCTGTAAGGGAGGAGTCTGCTTCTTGTCTACTGCAAAATATAACCCACACAAGGAGTTCAGAGAAGGCCACAAGCAGGCTTTATGTGTTTCTGTGATAGTTTTGAAAGAGAAGAAGTGTCATACTTAAAATTGATATATCCTAGCACTTGTCTGTGGACAAACAACTCATTGCAAACGCCTAGCTTTCAAGGGCTGCAGGACGCAAATGAAAACAAGATTAGGCCGGGGAAGTAATTCATGAAGTAAGAGGAAAGATGAGGTTACATCCTACCATCTCACACAAGAACTTAATAAAAAAAATAGAAGTTTCTCTAAATACTGAGGTGAACTTACTACTGACTTCTGCTTGCTGTGCAAATCCCTTTCCCACAGCTGCCATGGTTCGACAGTGTCCTCAAACTGTCTGCAAACACCAGTCTTGTCAGCCTGAAAGACTTCAGGCTGGTGGTCCAGCAGGACGCCCCTCACCAGGAGGTACTCTTCACTGATGGAAACTGGCCCCTAGGACATCTAGGTGTCCAGGTAGCTGTAGCCAAGGAGGCTCTCGGTTCACTGACACACAGAGGAGCCCCAAGAGGAAGGAAAACGTCATACCAGTAATTTCATGTATTTATCTAGAAGGAGAAGTCCTGGGCCCACTGTCTTTGCTTACCAATACTCATGTCTTTTACAGGAAGCATCATCACCTACCACAGGACATTTTCTCACAGTAGTTAGTAGTCTGAAACAATCTACTTTGTAACCCTTACCTCTCAGTTCCTTTGCTCCATTCCTACCCTCACAACCTCCATGTCGCTGTGCTCCAACTGATATTTGGGCATATCACCACAGATCTTCCAAGCTTGGTTGCTGATGGAGAAAGAAACTCTTGTTTACATTACTTGCAGTCATCAGTACTGGAAGCAAAGGCACTCCAGTCAATCAGAAGCAACATATTTTGGTGAGAACATCATCCAAGCAATCCTTCTATTATCTGAGTGGTCTAAGTTAAAATACACATCAGTCTTGAGAGCTGGAACAATCTCCTCCAGACCTCCCTCTGGTTACCAGCTGCTTTGCCTCAGATGTTGAGCAGATGCTGCCTTTGGAGCCAAAAGGGAGCCTGCAGAGCTTGCTGACCCCCCATATCCCTCCACTCAGGGCAAGGAGCTAGGGCTCCAGATCTGAGCAAGTCTTCAGAATTCAGACTTTCAGCCCTTTGCTGATCCCAAGCCACATGAACTCCTGAACTGAGCTGGAGAGAGATGGCTAGTATGAACTCCTGGCTTTTCACCCCACATATTAACAAGCATCCCAAATTCTTTCTCATTAACCCTGTCTGCATATACACCACTTCTATCAAAATATCCCAGAGGTTGCAGAACCAGAAGAGGATATTTCTGACTTGCCCAGGTGATGCCCATTCACTCCCAGGGCCACTGCCAACCACCTGTACCCATCCCTCTTGCTGCCTTGCACATATTGAAGCCTGCACAGCTGGATTTACTTAGGACAAATTAGCTCAGCTGATGGAAAATCCCAAAGGGAAATTAATAGTTTCCCTCTATGGTAATAAAAGTAATTAAAACAAGCTTGAACAAAACTCTCCAATCTCATTCATTGTATAAGTGCATTGAATTAACAGGTTCCAGGAAGAAAACCTTTACCCTTGTAATGATCTGCTTCTTGACACACCTTTAGCTGACAGAGAAGGATATTGGCTTTCCAGCATGCAGAAAGAGGAAATTCAAACTTCTCTTCAGAATAATGTCCTTATGAATACTTCTTGTTTATATTCTCTTAATTTTCATAGGCAGAACAAATTATTCATCCTCTAGTGCAAAGGATTCACAGCATTTTTATTTTTTTGGTAGAGACATCCCTTTTGTAGTCTTCTGTGCATCTAAATCTGGGTGTTAGGATTGCTAGTAAGAAAGGCTTCAATGCTCAACGGGGAAGAGGTGAATGATCCCATGTGAGTTCGCTGTTCAAACTTGTGGAAGCAACTGCAAAATGAAATTATAAATCTCTGAAGCAGCTCTTGCTTTTAAGAACGGGTTACAGCTGATAAATTTGTCATGCATATTAATGAAGAAACTGCAAAAGCCAGGAATTCTCACAACCATAGATTTAACGTAACTTCTTCGATAGCACAAACTGTAAATACAGAAAGTGTAGCCCTGTGCAGTGCATTCTGAGTAGTAGTTACAGAACACATAAAAATTTCCATGCAGTACCAAAATATATGCAGCCTGGAATAACTTGGTTAGCCACTAGACAGCTTCATATACATCAGTACAAGATGCCTGTCTCGGGAAGCAGACAAGCAACGCAATGATCCTGCTGATCAGCAGGGGGTTGAAGTGATAGATTTGTTTTGGGTAAATGCAGCATCTGAAGGATGACACCTAAGCTCCGAGCTGTTAATTTAAGGCCCAATTACAAGATGCTTCCTGTTCCCCTGCATGCTGGCAGAATTACCCTGGCCCCACTGAAGTTAATTTACAGTAGCGAAAGATGAGGCCCAGCAACAGACCCCGTGATGTGAATCTACTTTGTAGCTCACATAAATTGTTCTGTACAGACATTTATCCAAGAAAACCAAGGGTGCCTGCAGATTTGCAGCAGCTACATTTGCAAACACAAGCTGAGCATCAGACTCCCTTGGTCTGTCCCATGTTGCAGGAGTCTTCTGTGTTAAGCTGGGACTGAGACACTGGTCTCAGAAGCCAGTAGGGAAGCTTCTGAGCTACAAGGACTCCCCAAATATTTAAAGAGAGGTTTTAGCAGGCCTGAGACTTGTCACTGAGTCCCCACTGCAAATCTGCTGCGTACCTGGGGACAGACACCTATGTGTCCTGCAAAGATCACACAACCAAGGGCAGGGGAAGCAACACAGCCCTGGGATCCTGCCGTGTCCAGAAGAGCATCCTCTGCCTGCACACAGCCAGGAGCACCACCGGCATGGCCGTGCCCTGAGCCAGGGGTGTGTGTAGCCCCCAGGAACCACATCCTCCAACCTCCTGCACAAAAGGGTCAGCAGGTGCAGCACCAAGCTTGCCTCCAGCTGCACCGTGCTGCCCTGAAAACCAGCTGTAACAGCACATTGCCATCGGACACACACATTCACTGCTCTTCAGGACCACGTCTTGCACCATTTCATCTTCCCCGTGATTTTCAATCTGACACGCAAGCCTGTGTTTTGGTCCCATGGCGATGCCACAGACTGCCAGGCAGGTGACCCAGGCTCAGGCAACTCCTGAGGGGTCCCTGTGGCAGCGCAGCCTGCGGGCTGCCCTGAGATGAATCAGTGCTTCCCAGTGACCAGAGATCATGGGTCTGAGTGTCCCCCCTGCTTCTGCTTCCTGTTTTGGCAGATATCATGGGGGTGGATTTTCTTCTCCTGCTACCGTGCTCGTTTTGGGGAGGCAGTCCCAGAGATGAAAGCAGCAGCCCCAGAGGGTGGGATGCCAAAGTGGCACAGACCAGAAGAAGCATCTGCAGTTTGACACCATGCCCGCTCAACCCAGAGCTTCCTTCCAGCACAAACATCAGTCCTCAGCTACATCTTCCACCAGGAGATGCCCCCACACCAGGTTTCCATGGCTGTCCCCCCTTAACCATCCTGAAACTGAGTGTGGGTGTCAGCAGCCTGGCTGAAGGGGAGAGCTCCAGCAACACCATGCAAGCTCATGGCTCACGCTCAGCTTTATGTCTCTGTACCATCTTTGGCACTTTGCATTAGACCATGGCTGTAGATGAACCAGAACTCATCCCAGGCACAGTAACCAGGTGCTGAGTCTGCTGGCTGGCCCACAGCACCTTCCCAGGAGAGGAAGGAGGTGACAGTAATCCAGCGGTGAGGTCAGCCTCTGCAAGAGGCCTATATTTTGATTTTCTGCCTGCAGGGCAGCTGCTTCAGCCAAGATCTCCCCTAGGTGGATGTAGAAGATGCTCCACATTGAGGTGGGGGACAGCGTGGGCTTCCTGGACCATCTGCAGTGACCCCCCACAGCCACCACACCCCTCAGCTATGGCAGCATACAGGTTTCCCCAGTGGAGGCTCACCACGCATCTGTGGCCAGGGATGTGGGCTCCTCTGAAATCAGGGAGAAAAATCAGGAAAGCAAATGTCTCTTCTGCAAGCAGCAGATGCAGGTGGGGTGTGGAAGGAGGACCACGTCTCCCATTCATAGAATCATAGAATGGTTTGGGTTGGAAAGGACCTTAAAGATCATCTGATGACACCCCCCTGCCATGTGCAGGGACACCTCCCACCAGCCCAGGTTGCCCAAAGCCCCATCCAGCCTGGCCTTGAGCACCTCCAGGGATGGGGCAGCCACAGCTTCTCTGGGCAGCCTGTGCCAGTGCCTCACCACCCTCTGAGTGACGAATTTCTTCCTTATAGCTGATCTAAACCTACTCTTTCCTGAGGCAGGGACGTGCCCCATCACACCAAAGGACCTTAGTGGTTGGTGTCCCAGGCAGGAGGCACCTTGCCGTGGGCGCGATGCAGGTCCTGGTGTGCCCAGCTGTGTGTTCCCCTGAGCACCTCATCCTGCCAGCCCACCCAGTGCTGCAGGAACAGGGATTTCGGAGTGACCGGCCCGCTCCATCCCTAGCACTGAGCTGGGGACCCACCACGACACATTTACACCCCGCTGCCCCATCGCATCGGGATGCGACATTACGCGGTCCCGACGTGGGGACAGATGCCACCACCACCGACCCCCTCTCCCGGCCGACTCCCCAGAAGGGGACTTCTTCCCCAGCCGAGGGGATTTCTCGTTTCCCTTTGATCCGAGCCCGTTTGGGGAGCGAAGGCTGCGGGCGGAGTTTCCCCGGCCCGGGGCTCCCTGCGAGGCCGGGTCTCCGCCTCCGCGCCCTCCCCTTATAGCCGGGCTGCCCCGGGGCTCCGCAGCCAGCGCCACCGCCGCCCTCGTCGTCCTCGCCGTGGTGCCCGGGAGCCGCAGCAGAGTAAGTCCTGGGGGCTCTCCGTGCCTCCTTTCCCCGCGGGGCCGCTCCCGCTCCTCCCTCCTGCCTCGCTCCGTGCGGGGCTGGCGAGCGCACGGGCTCTGCTTTGCGCCTGGGGTAGGGTGAGAGTTAAAAGGAAGGTGCTAAAGGGGGGGTTCCTCGAAGAGGTGACGGGTTTTGGTCCCGCTTCGTGATGGCCAGAACGGGGATAAAGTCACAGCGCTGTCCCAGCTCCAGATGCATCCCAGGGCTGGGGGCCGCAGAGCTGCATGTCTGGTGATCCTGTCCTGACAGCTGGGTCCGATTCCTCTTGCTCATCCTCCAGACTTCAGGGCATGAACGCAGGCAGCCAGCAGTGATTCCTTTTAATCCCCTCTCCCCAAAATCCAGACATGGATCTTGGGCACCAAAGCATCCTCAACCTCAATCAGGCACCAGGCTCCAGATTCAGCGAGGCACTTCCCACCCCTCCTGCGTTCCTTTCTTTTTAGAAGGATGTGGTTTCCTCCCATATCACAGGAAAACAATTGGATTATGATTAATTCATCCCAACTGCACTGGAAAAAAAAATCCTTATCGGTGCCTGGACTGTGTTTGGTCCCAGACAGCCCTCGTGCCCTGCTCCCTGCTGGGGCGATGTGCCAATTTGGCACACTTCTGCATGGCCGTGCTTGCAGCTTTGGGACTTGAAGTGCAAGTCAGGGAAGTGCAAGTGCCCTTAGGACCCACCTTTCCCCATGGCACTGAAGAACCAGCCTGAAATTCCCTTTTTTCCTTGGGCAGCCATCCCACATCACTGCCCCAGCCCTGAGGTGAAGGCTGGGTTCAACCTCAGGGCTAGGATCCTCGGTGGCCTTAGTGTAAGACTTCCTCGGGCAGCTGCAAAGTGAGGACAAGGCTTTCTGCGAGTGGAGTGTGTGGCTGACCTAGGCACGGTCCCTTGCCATCACACCCAAGTTCAGAGCCAAAACCATGAAGGAACAGTCGTGCTCCAAAGTATCCAACTGCCTGCCCCAGCCGAGGCACTTTGGGATTTGCCATTTCTGATGCAGGGAATTAAACAGGCAGAGCCCTTTGGAGAAACTGGGTTTGAGTTTGCTAATGCTCCAGTGGCTCTTTCTGTAAAAAGAGGTCTGGAAAGCCAAAGAGTCTGAAAATGATGGTAAAAGGAGGAGTTCCGGGAGCTGTCGGTCTGGCTCTGGAGACTTTGTGTGTCCTCTTGGTCTGTTTATCTCTACCAGCGAACCTGGCACGCTCCAAGTGTGGGTGCAGGATTTGGCTTCAGGAATAGCAAATATGAAAACAAAATCCTGGACAGCAGCAGCTGGTTTGTCTTTCAGCCGCAGCAGTTTAAAATTATACTGCTGGCATTTGAAGTGAGAAGTAAAGGAGCAGATTACACTTTCTGGAACCCAAACCCTGCTTTAGAAGTGCCCGAGTAGCTCTGTGTGGCTTTCCCTGTGCTGCTCCCAGCACAGGCGATGGTTTAAAGGCAGTTTAAGGCACCTCACACCAGGTTTGATGGGAAGGTCTGGTCTGCTGCGACTTTCTTGTGTAGGCAGCAGGGATCCCACATCCAGGGGGAGCAGGGGAGGGAAGGAACGGCTGATGGAAACACAGAAAACAAACTCTGCTAATTAACTTTGGAAAGGCTGTGAGAGAGTGGGGCTTTCCACTGGAACCAAACATAAATCCCTCTGACCGAGAACGTCAGCAGACAGGAAAGGAATGAAAATCCAAACAGATGCCTGTTCATATGGCAGCAGCTCAAGAAAAAGCACTTGAGAAAGAGATCAGCAAAAATTTTGGAATGGCGTTAATTAGCAGATCTCTGCTGGCGTGCCATCAGCCACCCCTTGCCAGTGAGCTCATCCAAAGTGCAGGGCTTCTGCAGAGGCTGTTTAGTTTGAGGAGGGAAATGAGAACATGGGAACCCGTTGTGCCCAGAGTCCAGGTTTTGTCCTTGTGCTTCGTAGCACTGCTCCCAGTGCTGCCTTGGCACCTGCTCGTCTTGCTGCCCACCCTTGGTCTGGGGTAGCACAGGATGCTGCGCAGGCTGTGCTGCTCTTCTGGTTAGGAATTGTAAAGCTGAGCACACTGTGGCAGAGATAATTAGTGCTGCAAACTCTCCTGCCTCAAACCATACTGCCACAGAACAATAATGAGGATGATGATGATAATAAAATCTATTAATAGTAAATTAACAGTAGTGATGAGTTGGAATCTACGTAGAGACAGGATCTTAAACCATTAAATTTCCCAAGACACAATTATGAGTGTTGTGTCCTGGAAGTGATTCAGCACTTCCCAAAGTACTGGCTGCTAAAATGATTAGGAGACGGCTGCGTTTTTCCCAGGCTTTGGTTTGTGAGCAGAATGTAAGTGTGCAAGAGCAGCCCTCGGCCACCTGAGCCACGGTGTGGTCTGCTGTGGTAGCCCAGGAAGGATGCTGCTGGAGGGGTGCAAGGAGCTACAGACAGAAGGATGTGTAAAATAGCAGCAGCAGCAAACTGATAAACTCTGGATGAGCACTCGAGATGGACAAACCTTAGTGCTATTGCATTTACAGCCTTCCTTGGATGCTTAGCTGCTTCAGCATCTATTAGCTCAAGTGGACAAAGCACACCCTGAGACGCGAATACTGCCAGCAGTTCTCTCGGTGCCAATGTGCAGCCCCTGGCTGAACACACTGGAGCTGTTTTATCTTTCTCCTAATTCGGCTGTGGGACTGGGAGCAGTGATGTGCCACCACAGCACACCCCAAGCCACCAGCCTTGCTCCGAGCATTGCCACGTTCCCATGCCCAGCCCCTGCAGAGCCTTAATGGGACAAAGTTCTGCTGGCCATTAAAAACCAAGCTCTTAACAAGCTTGATCTTTTCCCCAAAGACTCTTTTATGTGTACTCTCATTTATGTGGTTTTCTAAGACAAATGGTATTCCTCTTTGTATCCAAGAAGCAGCAAAACCATCCTGAAATCCATCTTTATGATCATCATTCATCAAAACAAAAGGCAGAAGTGACTGCTCCCTGAATGTCACCTTCTGCTATACGAAAGGGAGAGGTGCTTCATTTGTTTAGAAAAACAAAAAGTGCTTTGTTTGGAATAATAGGGCTCAGTTGATTTTTGTGCTTGCACAAACAGGAAGGAAGGAATTTGGCAGGATGAATCTAAACACAGTGTGGTATTGGGAAACGCAGGCTAGGAAAAGAGCCTTACAAAAATTAGAAAAGTCCCGAATATTTAAATAGAAACACTGAAATAAAATCCCTGTGACTGTGAGATCTCTTTCTAAGGGAAAAGTAAGTAAATAAATAAATAAAATAAAAAGAGCTCTTTTCTGCCTTTTTTATTTTATTATTCTAACGGAGCATGGTGACCAGAGTAGCCCCAGTGAAGCATGACAGTTCTTTCCCCCTCGCTCCCCCAGGATCTCTGCTAGAGGGAAGGGCCCTGGCTGGCTGCCTCCTCAGCAGCCCTGATGCTCAGGTTCCCTCTGCTCACCCCACGGGACCAGTGCCACGTCCCTGGGGCACAGGGCTCTGCTGAGCACTGACCCGATGCACCCTTCCTCCCCTCCCCATAGGGGTTCCCATCGTCACTGTGTGATCGCTTTAAAGGCATTAGGATCCCTGAATGCGACCTAGCAGCTAAAGCATGGAGAAGGAAAGATTTTCAGTGATGCCAGACCCAAACTTTCTATCACACGCTTGCTGCCTCTGAGTTGGTGCTTCAGAGCTCACCAAGCTGCGGGGAGACAGCAGGAGGAATTGTATTTGAAACAAAAAGCTACGGTCTTCTAACCAGGTTCCCAGAAATAACTACGATGGTTTGTAACAGCGTAAACTTACAAGGGAATTTTAAGATCACCCCATTGTGGTCTTAAAACTGAAGCCTTTTTTTTTCCCTACGTTTACATCCCAGTTCCTCTGCTCTTACTCAGTAAGTGTAAGCCAAAATTTGCCTGGTGTTTCTTCATGCAGAATTGCTCTGGTTTCCCGGAAAGCCACTGAGAAAGAGCATTGTTGGAATGTGGGCTGGAGACGCTCAGTCACTTTATTTATTCATAATCAATGCTAATAATAATAAATCTTGCCATGATTTAACCATGATGTAAATAAATCTAGAGCAGCATACTAAACGTTAAAGGTAAATAAAGCAATGAAATATAAGTTTTTAGCAGAGACTGTTACAATAACAGCTGTATCTCTCGCTAAGCTATTTGCAGTGCAGGAGCACCCAGGATCTTGGTGCTGGAGCAGGACTGTGGCAGGACAGCGTGCTTACACCAGGCTCAGCCACCCTGACCCTGTGTCACCTTCCTCTTCCCCCTCAGCTGGGAGAGGACTGCTCTGGTCTTTCATTTCACTGGCACTAGCTTCGTGTGACAGCTGTGGAAAAAGTCCAAACTCATCAGTCCCTAGTGCCAGAAGCTGACCGCCACCACAATTTCTTTCTGCACAAGCCATGGCTCGTGCTACACCTCCACGCTTCCACATAACAGATGGGGCAGGAATTGCTCCCAGGCATCTGGAGAAACCCAAAAAGTTGTGCTGCAGCCTCATTGTTTTGGGATGCTGTAGTCACCCTGAGACCATTCTGAATACGAGATCACACAGTGAGCAGGTTTGAAGGGTCTGGAGGCATCCCTGAGCTTGCATCTGTCACTGTAGGGCTGGGGGCTGGCAAGCAGAGTGTTGAAGCCGTACATCTGGCTGGGATTTGGGGGCTTGCAATGACAATCCTAGCTATGCTCATATCAGGAGGCATTGCTTTACTTCCACTGTGCTGTTGTTCTTCCCATGTTTTTTCACATCCTGTGTTTTTTCATGACCCCCGACACTTCTGAACTCTTGGAGAGCTTCTCAAGGAAAAGGCTTCTCAGGAAATCGAAGAATTTTCTTACTTACTTAAGTGGGAAAAGCATTAAACCAGCAAAAGTTTGGCACAGGCAGACTGATTCCTCAGCAAAAGCAGCTGTGTACCGCGCCTGGTAGGCTTCATCTCATTTTCATGCTGTGCTTGCAAACTCTGTGTGCAAGTACCTACATGGGGGCTTCCACAACCAGACCTGCAGCCAGATGAGCAGGGACCAGCTCAAACAGGCCCTGAGGAAGGCTGAAATTGATCCCGTTCCTGTATAAATGTTTGAGGGGGTTGAGTTGCTTTGAACAGTCACAGGACCCGTGTCCTACTCCACCACACAGCCCAGAAACTCTTTTCTTTTGATGGGTGTCCATCCTGACGTATTGTGCCATCCATGGTAGTGTTTTTTTTAATGCAAACTGTTATAATCTGACCAGTTCTTTCTGAAATTTGCAGGCTAGAAGGAAAATGCTGAAAATGTTACCTTTTTCCCAAAGTGGTCCCTTTGGAATACGCAATGGATCAGCAGGTTGCATCAAGGTAAATGGGCAGCTGGAAAACCCTGCAACATCAGTAGCTGAGCAAGTCCCTGCCTGTCCTGCTTCTTCTGGAGACGAGATCTGGTCCAGGAACCAGGAGAAGATGAGTGAAAGGCCAGAGGCAGCTGGCAGAACTTCGCGGGCATCTTCCATCACGAGCACCGGGAGCTGCACCTCTGCTGGGGACAGTCTGGAGAAGGGGAAGAAAGGAATCAAGGGAATGTTTACGACTGCATTTAAGAAGATGATAAAGACCAGGACACCCAGCAGTAAGTGCTCACCCTCCTTCCCCATCACCAACCACCCTGTGAAATCTCCTTTTCCCCAGGACAGCAGCGAGCAGCTGCTGTGGGTCTTCCCAGGGTGGTATCTGAGTGTGCAAGTCCCCCAGGCCCAGGCTCCAGCCCTGCGGGGTGGTTAGAGAGTCAGGAAATCCTACTCAGAGAAACCCAGGACTGCAAAGAGCTTGGCACTTCCAACCTCACCTGCTAGCTCAGGTGATGTGTCACATTACCTGCTCCCTAAACTGAGCCAGCTGCACTTTAAAATGAGTCAATGTTTTAGTCCTACCTCCTTTACTGGAGGGGCTCTTCCAAAGTCTCGCTGTTTTAGAGCAAATTACTTCATTTCTAGGCAAACCTTTTCCTGGTTAATTCACATCTCTTTCTTCATGTGTCATCTGTTTTCCATAACTGGTGGTTTCCCTTCTCAGCCTCCAATTTGTTCAGCTAAATGAGCATAGCTTACTGGAAACAGGCCCTTCGTAGCTTTGGTCTAAACTCTGCACTGCCCAATTTCCAATGTCTTTTGAAATAAATCATTCAGAACTGCAGAAAATGCTCCAGCTGACCAAGGCTTGGTACAACACATTCCCATTTTTCTGTCCTTGATGGAAAATCCTCACCAGATACATCCTGGGATCGGGTCTGACACTTTCACCATCATCTCACAGCAGCAATTCACTTAAATTCTTCAGGCAACTCTCTTCCTCCTCCATTTCAAGCTGATGCACACGCAGCTTGCAGCAGAAAATCCTATTTGTTGCTAAGTAACTTTTGTTCTATTAGATTTGTATCCTATACCTTGTGCTATTAAGCTTCAGCCCATTCACTGCTGAAGTTATCCCGTTGTTCCTGTATCGTGCACCAAGCCCTCAGTTTCAGTAATGTCTCTGACCTTTGTGTAATCAGCAGATGCCAACAGGGCACTCCCAGCTTTTGTGTTCGAATTGAAATGAGGTTCATGATTAGTGGAAGCTTCCTCCACCCAAAGTTTTTAATACAAACCTCGCACACCTAGCAGAACTTATTTTGGGATACAACTTCCTCGGTTTAATAATTTCCCAGATTGCACCACATCAAGTGGCTGTAGCTCAGATAGGATATCTCAATAGTGCTTATTTTGCTGACTAAATATGTCATCCAAAAAATTTCACAGGTCAGATCGTGCCAGCCTATTTCTGGTAAACCCACGTGGTATTTCCTCTAGCACTTCTTATTTAGCTACATCTTTCCATCTACATTTTTTCTAAAGCCATGCTCCTTACTTAAGGTCATATTAATTAAGGGGAGGAACTGGGTGGATGTCAGAAATATAACTAAAGATAAGGCTAATTTTTTAATCTGTTCTCACAACTTCAACATTACACTGCAGTTTATCAGTGCTAACCAGCTATTTCTCTACTTATAACCCAACAAAACAGACTTCTGTGTCAAGATTGCACTTAGAATACCCTAAGGAATTTGACTTTTCTTTCAGGATTAGACACACCTATGCCAGTCATTTGCTCTGATTTCCTTGCTTTGGCCCCAAACCACAACAGTCCTTTGGTCTACACATCCAGTCCGTGTGCTGACCAACCGTGTTGTGCAGAACAGGAAAAAATGCAGGTAGCATCTCTAGTGCCAGTTCCTTTGAGACTCTTCCTCTCCAAGGAACAATTAGATATTTACATACATAGAGCTTGTCCTCCCCCTTTCATATTCTTTCTTGGGAAACTCGCAAAATATCTTCAGGGCTATTAAAAAACTCAAAAGACTCTCAGAGCCTTGCTTGGCAACCCAAGCAAAGGGATAACAAACACAAACAGATAAAAAAAAAAAAAAATCTAAATTTGGAAAAAAATCATGGTTAGCACAGGAATTAGCATTATAACATTCAGTGGCAGAATAGGAATAATCTGATCTTTAAATAAATAGAAAGATTTTCTCTGTGTAAAAACACTTCTAAAATAGTATTCCAAAGCCATCTTTTTATACAAAACAGAAATTTATTTTTTTGCCATTGGGTAAAGGAAGGCTGTTCTTTTTTCCTTAGTCAAACAAATCATGGATCTCCTTGAAAAGCACAAGCTTTCTGATGCTGCCCTACTTCTGATTGCCCTGGAGAAGAGCGTATCTAGCAAAAGCGAGGAGGGACTAAACACCAGGCAACAAGACATCGAGTCCATCAGCGAAATCCTGAAAAACAAAGTCTTCAGCATCTTGAAAGACTCTGTCCTTTTAGCAAGAACAAACCCAGAACTGCTGCAGCAAGCAGTAGAGGTACTGAAAGAACAGGAGAAAGAAGATCAGAATTGCCTGTCAGAGAATTCACCTGACCAAAATGTGCAATTTAGACCCAGAAAATGGAAAGAGCTTTGGATGGCTACAGTGAAGGAGTCAGTAGAGACTCGAATGAAAGACACAAGTCATACTCCCAGAACTGAGAACCTCTCTTCAGTTGGCCAAAACCTCCTGCGCATGGGGAAGACGATGAAAGAAGATTTGACAGTAGTTGCAAAATGCATTAGACAGCTTTATCCCCCTGAGTTTAACGTGTTCGGTACATATGCAGAACTCTATCACCATCACTTTGCCTCCGAGGCAAAGAAAGCTGCTGAGTCCCAGCTGGAAGACAAGGACGTCTACCTTCTCCTCTCATGGGTGCACAACATTTACCCAAAGTAAGTGATGCCTTTGCTTTTACACATGTTTAGTACTGGAGACCATCAGGCTCCCTGGCTGCCAAACCAGGGATTTGCTGGATTTATGTATCAGTGTCACTGTGGCTGCAGTCTGATCCACAGCGAGGTTTTGGTGTCACTGGTGTTGTGCTGATTTACACCAGCTGGCCAGAAGGCAATTCCACAAGGCTGCTGGTCTGTAACCAGTCTCATTACACACCACAGGCCTCTAGGCAACACGTCTACACAGATATTTAGGACTTCACTTCTGGCACAAACTGGGCAGGCCCCTTGCCCTGATCTCTACTCCAGTTGCAGACTTGAACTCATTCTTGGAAAATTTGGGAACTCCAGCCTTCTGGCCTTTGGAACAGAGGGCAGTCAGTAAATGGAACAGCCTGGGATGTAATTATCCTGAGCATGGAGGGTGTTTTCTAGGCATTGCCCACAGTCTGTGATCTCCTCTGGGTTAGGAGACCAAAGGGTGAACCCCTGTGGGAGCTCATCATGAGCCAAGGGTCACTCTTCAGCCTCACAAGACCTGTATTTTATAAAACTGAACATATTCCTCCTTGTGGCTTATTGTACTGGGTGGGGAATTGAGGGTTCTCATTTCTTAGGTGAAAAACAGTGAATTTTCAAACAGTGTTTCTTCGACTAGGCTAAAACTATTCCACCTTCACCACTGCTTGTTTCTCATCTTGGTTCTCCCCTTGACGGAACATAATGAGTCACTGCTGATCCTGGAAGCTTTCCACAGCTGCTGCTGTGCTCTAGGTCAGGACATGCAGCCTGAACTACCACGGCCTGGCTGCATAAAAACAGGGCTGAGGTTCCAGCTTCATATCATAAGCAGCCCATGCAAAATAGTCACATGGAGTTGGGCCTAATGCTAGCATGGGAACCAGGCGATGCTCATCGTTGAGCTCTGCAGCAGGCCCCCAGGCTGGCAGGTCCCTGCTGGGTGGCTCCGTGCCACCACATCCCTCTGGAGCTGCTCAGCAGGGAGATAACAGGAGGCATTGAACATCCTGCTCCGCTCCCACAGACCAGCCTCAAAGCACCAGCTCTTCATCAGATCGCCTTGCTGTATCAATGGCAAGAGGCCATATCCCAGAGCTAGTCCTCCTGCTGCTCTGGGACCCCAAACCCAGCAGTGCAGCGGCCTGCACTAAGGGTTGTGCACATCTACATCTGGTTTCCCACTGATGGCCTCAAGGAGTGTTAGTGATTTGCATCAACAGCTGTCTTGAATTACACTGACCTTGCAAAATGTGATTGTTTGGCTTCTTCGTTCCAGAGATATGAGGAAAGATCCTGTTTTAGCAGAGGAGCTGGAGAAAGTTAAGCTTGGAAGCCTTTTGCCATCAAGCCTGAGCAAAGAGCTTGAAAGAAAATATCTCGAGAGTGAAGAGGTGAGAATCTGCTCAGTCCCTCCTCAGCCTTGCACCGCTCCATGACTCCTTGGAGGAGCTCTGACTTGTCCTGAATGCTCCCTTCCCAGCCATCCATGTAAGCCACACATCCTTCAAGAGAGACACAAAAGCAAGACAGCTTTTGTTGCTCCCTGCAGGACAGGTGGGCCTGCTGCTGGTTGGGACATGCAGAGCAAACTTCCTGCTGCCTTCTGGTTAGCCCAGCCCTCTGCCTAGGGAGTCGGCACAAAATTGCCACTCTGCTCTTGCAAAACTGGTGTAAGGAAGGTGGGAAAAAGTCCAACTACAGATCTTTACGGGTAACTTTCCAGTTGTGTGTTAAATCCCCAGAAGGAGGAGCCTGCACTCCCACTCGCAGGTGATGCTTTTAGCCTTAGTCTGGTCCCTGTAGCAGTGCCAGACCTTGAGTGAGCACAAAGCACACAGGTCTGGTCTTGAAAAGTCTGCCTCTTTGATAGGGAATCATGTGGTCTGCGGGAAATTACAGTCGCTCTGATTTTTGGATGACTCTTGCCTTAGCAGACCCAAGAAGCAACTTTCACAACCCTCCTGTAGCTCGGTGCTTTTGGCACTTTGGGCTGGAGTTCCTGGAAAATGAGTAGATAAGTTCCAGGTTTAGCTGCAGTGCGTGATGGCTTGCAGCTGGGCTGTGAGGTGCACGAAGAGGGCAGAGAGCAGAGACGTACGCCAGCCCCTGCACTGACCACCTCAAACGCCTTGCTGCACAGGGAGGTCAGGGCAGGGAAAAGCTGGGAACATCCTGATTCATGCCACAGCTCATAAGACGTCAGAAGTGCTTATGAAAAAGGATTGCAAAACAGCCCTAGTGGGTAGTACTGAGTGTTACACACCAACAGCACATGGCTCAGGGAATTCGGGCTCCAGCACGTGTAGCTGCCTCTGACCTCCCTACGCCCCGCTACCGTCCCCCTGCCCCAGACGTCACTGCTGGCGTATTGAGGTGGTGGGTCCTGATCTTGGTGCCTCCAGTTCCTTCCCTGGAATATTCCACTCCGTACTGAGTGGGTGGATGCTGTGAGGGAGTTGTCCTTGCTGCCGTGAAGTGGTGCGTGAGGTGTCTTGTAACAAAGAGCCTTTATTTCTCAGCTAAGGAAGAGGACAAAGTCTGCCGAGCCAGACAAAGGCTAGGTGGGTGAGGAGAGCTGCACCAGCAGATGCTGCAGACGCTTTGTGGTGAATGCCGTTGTTCTTTGTTTCCCACAGGCAACCATCAAAAATTCACTGAACAAATGTTTAGAAAAGGAAATCGAAAGATGGAAAGAAGACAAAGAGCCAGAGAAACTAAATGGACATTTTCAGAGTGAGCTACTAGCAATATTCGTTATCCAGGTAATACAGATATATGTTTAAAAATAAACAATAGCATCCTGAGTGTATTTAAGATTTGAGACCAACCTTAGTCGATTCAGGAAGCCAAAAGGCCAAGTCCCATGTTTAGAGCTGTGGCAGAAGTGGGTGGCAGAAGGGAGCCCAAAGCCATGCTCTGGTGATCTGGTGTGGTCGTGGTCCAGCAGGTGCTGGGGAAAATCCTGCTCACATTCAGCAAAAAAAGGAAAAAAAAAAAAAAAAAAAAAGGCAAGAAAAAAAGCCTTTTCCCACTTCCTCAGCAACTTTATAGGCTTGCTGTGTCTATAATGCTCCTTTCTTCTCCACCTCATTTGAAAGCGGAGAGGTGGCCGCTTTATTCTTTTGACCGAACAAAAATCAAAAGAACACAAGGAGGAGTTGCTGGCTTTTTACTCAGTGAACCTGGACTTTTTGGATCAAGCAGTGTCTGAAACCAGTATTTTTTTACATTTTTTTTTTCTAGAGCATCTACAATGGCCAGAAGCGAGCCAAGGAGGTGAGCACGGCGCTGGGCGAAGAGCTGTCGCATCGCCTGTCGCGGGAGCTGGCTGCCCTCCTGAGAAGGTGCGGTAAGGCTCTGGTGGGCAGCACGAAGCTTCCAGGGCAGCCTGCTGCAGCCATTCACCCACCTCTCTTCCCATTTCCCCTCCAGCTACAAGGATGCTTTTGAAGACTTCAAGGAGAAAGGCAAGAAGCAAGTACACTACAGGCCGATTCTGATTGCAAACATTAACAACTGCTGGGAATTTCAGGTAAGGGTCCCTTCCTCCGCCAGCAGCGGGTAATAGGGTCTGTAATAGGGGTCTATAATGGGACACGTTAGGTCGTCCCCAAAGAGGAAGGTCTGTCTGCCATCAGGGGAAGGTCTGGGGACCTCCAAACATCTCCCCCTCTCTCTTCTGAGGACAAGTTGTTCTGACCTTGACAATGTTTCCTTTCAGAGACTACGTAGAGAAAAACATGGCAGAAAATGATGACAACAAGGACAGGATCCTTAGCACCCTTGGGGACATCGAGACCAGCGGCTGTGACGTCCTGCTTCAGCAGCTGTTTGTCCAGCTGAAGGTACGGCACCAGAGGGTTGGTTTTAATGGGCAGGAAAGTGGCGAAATGTCCCTGTGCCACCCAAATCTGTGCCAGACACAGTTCAGAAGGGCTCTGGGCCAGGTCACACCTCAGCATCACTCCTGACTTGGGCTGCTGCCAGAAAACCCATCATGACCTCTCCTTGAGTGGGTCCTCGAGGCTAAGCATGCAGGCATGCCTGGGCACAGGGAAATGAAAGTGCTGACCGCATCCGAGATAAGTGCTGCGGAGGAGAGAGTCTGAACCTGCACGTGTTTACACTGCAGGCGGTAGGAAGCAAGCCCAAAACTGCAACTGCACAGCTTTTGGCTTCTCCATAAAGGTGTCCTGAAAAACACTTTTGGTTTCTCTTCTCTTCTCTTCTCTTCTCTTCTCTTCTCTTCTCTTCTCTTCTCTTCTCTTCTCTTCTCTTCTCTTCTCTTCTCTTTCTCTTCTCTTCTCTTCTCTTCTCTTCTCTCTCTTCTCTTCTCTTCTCTTCTCTTCTCTTCTCTTCTCTTCTCTTCTCTTTCTTCTTCTTCTCTTCTCTTCTCTTCTCTTCTCTTCTCTTCTCTTATCTTCTCTTCTCGTCTCTCTCTTCTCTTCTCTTCTCTTCTCTTCTCTTCTCTTCTCTTCTCTTCTCTTCTCTTCTCTTCTCTTCTCTTCTCTTCTCTTCTCTCTCTTCTTTTCCTCTCTGTTCTTTTCCCTTCCATTCTGTTCTTTTTTTCTGTTCTATTCTGTTTTGTAAATTAAGCAAGTGTGGTGGAGGGGAAGGCACAAAAGCCAGGAATGTCAGCCACAATCTCTCCTGCTTTTTGAAAGCTATCCGTTAAAGCCTTTATTTTCATATTGATTTACTGTGGCCAACATGTGATTGAAAACATCTCGTAACAATTCATCTTTCCTTCCCTGATGATGCCATCATTCTCTCATCAGACAAGATGTGATGGACAGCACACTGAAAATGTGGAAATAAAAAAAAGCATCTTTGATGCAAGCCCCTCAAGCCCTCTGTCTCCTTCACCATGAGGAACCACGAAGGGGGCACAGACCCAACACAGCCCCTCCTCCCCTCTTGCCATCGGTCATCTTCACCCTTCCCTGAACAGGACCACACACCTCACTGTCGCTATATAGGATGCTGTACATATAGGAATGCCAAATATATGTGTGCATAGAAACTAACCAGATTTTTCTTTTTTTTCTTTTTTTCTTTTTTTTTTCCAGCCAATTTATAAGAAGTTTACAGAAAACAAGTGGGACTGCAGCAATAAAATTATGGATGAGATCATTAAAACCACCAGCAAACACATTTCAGAGTTGCAGACCCTGAAGAACCCTTTTTACAACGTAAGTCAAAGGGAACAAGTGGAGGGGTTCTGGGGTGCCCAGGCTGGGCTTTGCCTGCGATTCAAGCTGCCCTGACCTGCCATCATCTGGCAAGCTACTGCGGCATCAGCAGCACAGGGCTGATGGAGGAAGTGCCAGCTCTAGGGACCCCCCAAAATACGGCTTTGGTCATGGACCCCCCAAAATACGGTTTTGGTCATGCTGCGATGCGTGGTGTTGTCTCCTGGGTCTCTTGATCGCCCCTAGGACTGGAGGAGGTGTGTGCAGCTGGGACGGATCCCAAAGGAGTGAGAGCCACAACCACGTGCTCAGTGCTGCTGGAGTACATATGATACATCACCATATAAAAAAAAAAAAAAACCACTTTGATTTCCTGCCTTTGTCTTTTTAGTATTTGGAAAAAAAAAAAAAAAAAAAAAAAAAAGATGTTTTGTTTATTAGAGAGAGGAACAGGAGGAGCAGCGTGAATTCCTGTTGCTCTGTAGCAGTGCCTTCTCTTTTCCAAGATGCAGAGATCTTTTCTAAGCATTGAACTCTTCCCAGAAGGAAGGAACACTTGGAAATTCCCACACCTAATTAGTTTAAGTACGGATGGATTCTCAGCATCTAGGATGTGGCGTTGCAGGCTGCGGGGGGGGTTGGCAGCCAGCGTGGCTCCTCAGGTGCGAGCAGCAGCAGGCACGTGGTGGGGCACAGCTGATAGCACCCGAGATGTTTATGTCCCCCATTCACACACGCAGTTTGTTGTGTCCCCAAGCAAAAGACAGATGGGTGATGCCTCCTCTCCTTCCCAACAGGCCGCCATTGAGAAGATCCATGTCCGCTTGGTGAGAGATTACATTGTGAGGCTGCTGAAGAAGAAGGTCGGCCTGAAAAGTGCAGCACAACAGCAAAACCTGGCCCAAAGCATCTCCAAGAACGCTGCTGAGCTGGAAGCCTTCTGCACCAAAAATGTACGTGAGCACTCGCTGCATCTGTGCCAGCACAGAGCATGGGCACGCTGAGAAACAGGAGCGTGCCCTTCCTGCAGCCCCTTGTTAGCCTTTCCAGGGCAGCTTAAAGTTCTGGAAAGACCTGAGGCAGGGAGAGCTTTCCAAGTGCCAGCCTGCCCTCCCCAGATGGAGAACACTGATCTCACCAAGCAGTCATTTCCTTTTGAAGATTTATATCAATAGGGTCTAAAGATTGAGCTAAACACTGCGCTTCCCTGGCTGCAGTACGGCTTGCGTGGAGTCTGATCTCCCTCACTCCCCTGCCATGGGGTCAGGGAGGGGCTGGCAGGGGCAGCCAGGGGGTCTGGTGCACGAGGGCTCCCACCGAGAGATGCTCGAGGCTTTCACAGCCAAATTTCTGCACGGCCGAAGCACCCTTCTGCAGTCCTCCGGGGTCACCTCCCTCCTTTCACATCTCTGCATTTGCAGGGATTTGGGCAGTTCCTGGGGGAGGTAGAGGCAGGGCTGCTCACAGCTCACCGGGGGGCACGGTGTGGGGGGGCTCTGGGCTGGGGTCTGCCATCCGCCACGCACTGCTGACCGCTTCCCTCTCTGCAGGGCTCTCAAGCCACCTGGCTGAATTCGGCACTCCCAAAACTGGCTGAAATCATCCGGCTTCAGGATATAGGCTGCTATTAAAATTGAAGTTGCGACGCTCGCCACAGCATACCCAGATATCCGGTAAGAGAAGCTGAAACAGGTTTGCAGATGTGCGTGTGGAATTTTAATTGAGCCATGAAGCAGCCAAACATTAGCGTGGGTGAGGCTGATGTGCCCTGGGTAGCGCTGACCCCTATCAGAAAAATAATTCAGGTAAATGGTGCCCAGTTAGCTGGGTACCTCTCCTTTCACCTAGCCTGAACTGCATTTTCCCTAGATATTCCTTGCCTAAACGGAAGGTTTTTTACAAAAACCCTAACTTACCCAGGGCAGAGTTAGTGGGAGGTTGCTGCCAGGTTGTGGCCATCCCAATGCCATCGGACAAAATAGGAATCTATTAAAAAAAGGGACTATTTATATATTCCAAGTTCTGGTGTGATATTCTCCTTTGCTTTGGAGATTTCCAAATGGAGATTTCTGGTGGTGCTGGGTCCCAAGTAGGATCCAAGCTGCCATCATCCAGGGGTGCCTGGCCGTGGGCTGGGGCCACATCCTGGTGCAGAGCTGACACCTGCCTGTTTCTCTCCCACAGGAGAAGGCACCTGGAAGCTTTCCTGTATATCAAAGCCAATTTGTCGCGTGGAGAGCTCAAAAGCATCCTGAGCTACCTGGAAGACAGCACGGTGTCCACACCACCCAGCAACCTGCTCTTCTCCAGCATAAACCTGTCCTAGGCTGGGGCACCCCTCAGCACCGCGTGCACTGAGTGGTCTGGTGCTCAGCGTCTCCGTGGGAAGCAGCATCCACCGTGCATGGATGTATGGAAGGTGCCCAAAAAAAAGACCAGGGATGCTCCTCACACTAGACATGGACCTTCTCCGAGGTCTCCTTGGTGTCACCACATTCTCTGCCTGGACATTGCCCTGGTGCTCCGACCTCTGCCTACCTCACCAGGCGCCGTGAAGGCCGCGTCGCTGACTTCCCGCACCGAGCAGGCGCCTCCTATCTAGCTTCTTGTCTGCTAAAGAAAGGGAAGGAAATGAAAATTGAAGCTAAAATGCAGAGATGTTGGAAAAGCCCCATGAGAGTACGTTTCCCCCCAGTCTGTGATTCCTGACGTCCCACCATGCTGCAGCAACCCCAGAGGTTTGGGTTGGCCCCACGGAGCCGTGTTGCCCAGGGGCATCGGGGTTTCCAAACCAGTCCCAGGAGCCCCAGCTGCCCCCACAGCAGCAGTCTGGCCCGGGCTTCGTTCACCTCCATGAGGTGGGAGCACCTGGAACCACTGGTCCCTTTCAGTGGCCCCATCCAGTGCATCTCTGCTGGGGTGGCACCCCCCTAACAGAGGCTTGGGATCAAACTGCATTGCAGTAGAGCTTGTAGGCCGAGTCCCACCTTCTAGTAAAGCACTTTAGATATTGCTTAAGCCCTCCCTATGGAGGAAAGGACTTTTCCAGACCCTGTTAACATTGTGAGCTCTGAGTGGGTGGTGGATCTGGACTTGAATGCCATCAAAATGTCTCGGGGTCCCCATCTGCATCACCATGTGCTCGCTTGCTCTTTCCCCTCTTGCTGTAGGGTAGCTTAGATGTGCAAACACAAATGTGTCTATTGTGAAACTATGCGCTGTTTTTACAGCCCATTTTTTTGGGGGGGAAATGAATCATTTGCCAAAACAACATGTGTTTCACTGAAGACCTTTCCCTTCTGTTTTTCTTTATTTCAACTTCTGTATCAGCCTGTAGAAAGTCGGTCTGGAAGGAAGACACTGTAATGACTGTGCAGACCATGCGATGTATTTATATGCATATACAGTATACCATTGGTGTATTTTTGCAACCAATTTTATTTTTTTTTTCTCAGTTAGAGATATTCATTTGCAATGTTTATATTTAAACAGTATTCAAATACGCTAGGAGAGTGACTCACTTATTCTGTCTCTGGCTGTTGTTTACTGTGTTGCCTCATGTAGGCCCACATACTCCAGTTCTTCCACTGCTCCCAGCCTGCTGCTGCCAGGTCGGGAGGGCAGGGGCACCCTGTGTTTGTGGTGCCTGTTGGTCCTGTAGCCTGTCTCTCCTTACTATCTAGAGCCAGGGCTGCCATATGTGCTGCGTCTGTGGTATCTGGTACAACGAGGTCCAAAACATCAGCCCTGAGGTCTCAATGTTGAATAATAAAAAGATTTGTATTTGAGATGTGTCTTGTCCTTACTGCCTCCTCCAGCTCTGTTTCTCCTCCTGTTGGCATGAGACTTTAGGAAAGACAGAGTTTGGCCCCGGCTGGCACTGCTGGCCCACGTCTGCTCTCTTAACACTTGTTATTTATATATCATTTAAAACAGCACTTGGGTTTCAGTCTGCTGCCGGCCCTTCTGCTGAGCTGCGAGCCACACGCATGGCTCTCCTTCCATGAGCACACTCAGATTCTCACCAAAGCTCATAAACACACATAACAATCTCAAAGTTTATTACACATTACTTAAACACCTATCCCAGCTACGACTTAAAGCCAAATGACAAAATAACTTCTAACAGTGCTGAGCACTCATGACAGCTGTCACCCATTGTGCAACATTTTCTTTCCCAATTAGTGAAAGGTCATGTTATTGCTATAAATAATTACATTTTGATTTAGAGAACTATTAAGGGCCTAGAGAAATGCATCATACAAGTGATTACATTGGCCTTTAAAAAAAATATAAATTCAACTAAGTAAGTACTCAAAGGAAAATAGTAAATCTATTTATATATCATAATTAGGATGGGTAGGAGAAAATGGTTTTCATACACATTTCATAAGCCATATGGAACCACGTTGTGCAATTCTCTTCATCCTGCTACAAAACCCTTAGCTTTCAGCTCTAATGAGCCCAGGAAGCCAATTTATTTACCTTCCTGTATGACTCGACATTTACAATGGCATTTATTTGTATGCGGCACATTACACGTGGCCAGGTACTTTCAGAGGGCTGCAGGAACATCTTCTGATGACAGTGCGAGGTTAATACTGATAAATAGCACTCCTGCAAGATGAATAATCAAAATTGTCTGTGGTCAGTGTGGCTGGATTTTACAATGCAGCCTCTGCTGATGTTGTTCTGCCCCTCTTTAGAGGCAGAGCAGATAGGCAGGATGAAGCAAATAAAATCAGCTTTATAAAAGAGCTAAGACAGCTGGTTCCTCGGCAGAGTTGCTGTGGCAGTCCCAGCCCAGTGATTTTACTTGTTACCAGTGCCATGCAGGACACCAGCCTGCAGCAGCCACTGCAGCAGGCAGGGACACACACTGCTCCTTGCTCCCTGTCCCTCCATCCCAGCAGGCACTTCCATCACCTGGCAGCAGGCTTGCAATTTGCAGCACAAAAGACCCAGGGATGCACACCGCAGCATACCAAAGGGAGGGCCAAGTCATTGCTCCTCCTCTACATCTGCAGCTTGCAAGGTCCCCGATGGCACTTGGGAAACCATCGTCCATCCTGCAGGGAAGACAAAACAGCAAAAAAGCTCCTGTCCCTCTGGCATGGGGTGGGGGAAAGCTTCCTTCATCCCTCAGCATCACCCACCACTGCAGCAAGCACCAGCCCGGCACTGAGGGGCTGTCTGGGACCCCGTTAGGGCACCAGCCAGCCTTGGCCTTTCTTGAAGGGAAAGCAAAGAGGAATAGGAGTGTGCAACAAAGCAAGCAGTGCTGACATTGTGAAATTAAGCAGAAAGCTCCTGCTAGAGCCAGCCAAGAAGCTTTGAGGGCTGCAGACCTGGAGAGAGAGTTAGGAAACCAGAAAGCCTGTGGTTCCTCCCCTTTGAGCTGGATCTTCTCACCAGGGTCCCCTGAGAGGTGCCAGCACTGGACTAAAGGCTGTAGGATGCATTGACCAACAGGTCTGAAGAGAGACACTAGAGCAAAGTGCCTGATGCTTTGGTAATTGGCAGAGTAACAGTGTAATCCATAAAACAGGAGGAGTAAGTGCAATTACAAAGGATCTGGCAGCAATTTGTCAACCTCCATTTAAAAACCTTGTATTTAGTTTAGCTGGTATGAACTTTAATTGGAGTAAAACTGGGAATGGCAATCCACTGGGAACAGACCGAGGAGGCTGGCAATGCACAGAGCTTCCTGAAGGCAAGGAGCTGCTGCAGTAAGCAGCCAAGCATCCTTCCCTGGGTGAATTTGGGCACAAAGGCTGCAGGCTCCAGCCCATCCCAGCACAGCTGCCCATCACCCTGTCTCTGCTTCATGCAGCTTGGGTCGAAAGCCAGTACTGGGGAGCAAACGGGCAAGAACCAGCACAAGAAATCTCCGAGGAGGAAGAAAATTTGAAGAGCAGGCTGGATGCCTGGGTGTGACACTAGCAAAACCCTGCTTGCATAAAGCGCTGTCATGCTGTAAGCTGAAACCCATGAGAATAATTGCTGCCTTCCTGCATGACTTAAAAGAGGATGTGACCACACCACCCACACTGATACCTTAAAAACACAAAATAGCTCTCCTGTAGCCACAGGAATAGAGAGCAGCTTATGTCAGAAGAATTCTATGAATTACTCAACAGTGCAGCAGCCACAGATTTCCCCTTCAGCAAAGGTGCAACCCTACATGACCCCGGAGACCAACACATCTCACCTGCAGGAAAATCAGAGTGAATACAGTGGGGCAGCTGCATACATCAGGCTGTCCAGGTGCACCTTGCTGGAGGAGGGTTAATTGCTTTATTTTTTTAAGGCAATGTGTTACTGTGGAGTGTTCCCACCTGCGGGACACCATCTCTGTTTGCTACCTGGGTCTTCCTCCTCTAGAAATTGGGTTTAAAAAGTCCTTTTAAATTGACTAGCTTAAAGCCTTCACTACAAAACCATTTTTTGTCTCTTCTCCGTGTCTTGTCCCCTTGGAGGTTTTCATTTACTTCTTTACCACTCCACGGGTCTCAGATTTTCCCCCCAGCTCCCCTCCAAATGCTGCCTGGTACCACGTCCTCCTAACATTTCAACCCTTAATTCAGCAGCTGGGACCCAGTAGGGCATGTCAAGTAACAGCACCCAGAAAGGCCATCGTTTTAGAAGGAGGAATGCATTGTTATTTATCTAAGTAGTTTTCATCCAAACAGGACAGAGCACTTGAACTGTAGTAACTCTCCTAATGGACTAATAAAAGAGGAAAAGTTATCATTTAGCAGAAAAGCTGAGTCCTCAAAAGTATTCATTAGTGTTGGAACAGCTGTGATGGGGAGATATTAACTCTGAAAGGGAGGAGGTGATAACAAACTCTCGGGTACAACAATATTGGTCCTGGAGTCTTCAAGAGCTTTTGAGTCCTATCCCAAAGGCTGGAGGCCAGCCCCTAAGCCCCCCTGGCAAGAGCAGTCCAGCCTGAGAGCTACACCATGTGTACAGATTAGATAAACTGTCAGGATAAGGGTAACAGTGCAATGTCCTAGTTAATGTAGGGTTGTTTCTGCGCTTTGGTTTTCTTACCGTCCTCTCTACCCTACCCCATGGCCACAAGAGGCAGTGACGGCCCCCTGAGATGTGGCACAGGGACTGTCACCTTCACTCACCTCTTGTTCATGACGAGGTCCCAGCCCCAACGTTGTGTGTTGCCACACAGCTCCTTCAATAACCTACATGGGGCTGTGCAGACCCTCACAGCTCGGCTGCAGCTTCCCACTCCCTGTGCTCAACATGAAGGGAGGGAGAGAGACAGATCTGGGCAGCCCAGGATGCTCAATAAGGGGCATCCTGCTCTACCTCCAAGGGATCGCAGGGCTCAGGGTAACTCAGGAGAGGCAGGCAGGACCCACAGACTGGTCCTGAGATTTCACAGGAGAAGAGACCCATAAATGTCATTGAAAATAGAGAGGAACTGAACCAGGGTAACTCTCACACACTCTGGGAGGGTTAGACCTGCTCCTGGAGGAACCTTGGCAGCCTTCAAAGATCTCATGGGTAAAATCATTAATCCTGGAGCTGGCAAACCACAGCCAGCACAAGCAGCAATCCAGATAACCTTTGCTGTATAGCAGTAAGGAAAACATAGGAGGTGCCCTAGAGAAACAAGAAATAGAGAACGTGAAGATGGGAGAGGAGCCTTCGAGTACCTGCCATGTCTCTAGCTGTGCTCAAAAGTCTTTTGTTGGCCTTTGTTTAACTGTCCAGCTCAGGATCCCCTTCTGATCCATTAAAATATCATAAAGACTAAAGTATTACTGTGGAATGCATGAACTACCCATGGTCCCGTTTTTGTTTGATTTGATTTCTCTATAAAGCCTCTCTCAAGGAGCTCAGATTGCGTTTACTTGGGGAACATTTTGTCAGATCAGCATGTACAGCATGAAATCAATAGCAGCTTTTAAAGACAGACAAGATTCATCTGTCATCCAGAACAAACTCTTAAGCCACCTTTCCTTGGGTAGAAACTGCTGCTTAATAAAGAAAATTTTCCACCCTCCTTCCACCTGTCTCAAAACCTCTCTGTCCATGTCCACTGTGGGCAACAGGCAACAGCTCACCTCTCTGTGCAACACTATTTCTGACCAAAAAAAACTACTTCTGTATGAAATAGCACTATTTCTGTCCAGGTATGATGAACCCGAGGGGACGGCATGGAGCTGGGATAGGGGAGGGTCAGGCTGGGGGTTAGGGACAGGTTCTGCACACAGTGCTCCACACACCCTACTACCACAAGAGCTGTTCTTACAGACACAGTATCCAGCCTTTTCCACAGTTTCAGCCCTCCAAATCACACTGTCTTCTGGAAATTCAACATTTTTTCTCCGTGGACAGGGGCCAAATCAGGGTATTTAGTTTGGCAAAGTCACAACATGTGGGATCTGCAAATTGGTCATATTGAAGCATAAAACCTCCTTCCTCTTTCCATGCTCTGCCACAGCGTGTGCTTAGATGAGTGTCAGTCCGGGTTTTGGTCATTGTTCCTTCTGGTAACTTTCTATTTAATGAAAACAACAGAAATTTCAGGCCATTCATGTTGATAGTGCTGTAGGAGCATTGACACATTATGAAACAAATACAAATAATATCTAGAGGACTTCTCTGTCTTCTGCAGGTTTGTGAGACTTCAGTCATGCAATTCTCACCTAATGTACAAAATAATTTAATAACCACAAAATAAGGTGTAATTTTACAATCTTACCTCTACTTCCACCATTCAGGACTGGAATTTTGGAGTCCCCAGAATCTGAATTCCCTGAATTCTGAAGCTTTTTTTAGATAAGGTGTATGTCCAAAAGGACAAAGGTGGTCATTGGCCCCCAAGGGTTGGTATGGTTGGTCTCAGGGCCAGTTTCAAGCTATATGGAGCTGTTGGGTTGTGGTGTTTCACTAGGGTTTCACCTCTCCTGGCAGCCCTGTGCCATTTGTCCAGCAGTCACTGCAGGAGGTGAATCAGGAGGACGATAGTTGTGCTGTGGGAGGGGAGGGTGGTCTGATATCAGCACCAGAAGGAGGGACCCCGACCTGGTCTCTAAGCAAAGCTCTTCAAATGTTCCTGCAGATGAGTCTCTGCTGGAGGCTCCCAGCAGAACACAGGAGTGGGAAGAGGCAAGGAGCCGTGCTGGTGTTGTGTCAGTGCGAACAGAGACTCTGACACATCTTTCATTGTGCTTGTGCTCTTACTTTAACCTGGCTTGGGGTAACTGCTGTGTGAGGTGACCGGGCAACAATTGGTCACCCCAACAGACCACAGCACTCCTCCTCCACAAACAGCAATTCCATAAACTGGGACTGAGACACGATAACAGGGCTCCCCCAAACAATCCCAGCTGCAAGCACTTCGCAAGGACAGCAGAGGCATCTTCCAGGGACCCAGTGGCCTCAGGGGCTCTCTAGTTCACAGCACAAGCCTGGCACAAGCACTTGGACACGGGACGGACATCACAGCTGAAAGCCCAAGAGACGCAGCCTTCAAGGTCAGACGATGACTGGCTTTGTACGTCCGCCTCTGTATTTGTCAGTGACACAATTAGCTAGAGGCAAATACTCATTTTCCATTGATCTGTAGGCAGGGCAACCGTTGCCAAAGGTAACATTAGCACCGTCAATGATAAATGGTACATTGTGGAGGTTCAACCATCTGAACCTCCTGTGTTTCCACATAGTCAACAGTTCTTAATACAGTTTCACTTCTCCCTTGGAAAAAAAAAAAAAAAAAAAAAAAAAAAAAAAAAAAAAAGGAGCAGAGAATGGATAATTTCCCTTTCACTGTATAGTACCAAGCACGCCAAGGAATGTTTCGGTATTTCCACCACTTGGGGGGGGGGGGGGGGAAATCACCACAGAGAAAAAAAAAACACTCTTTCCAGCTATAATTTCCTTCTCAATCTGTGAAGCTTTGGTGCTGTCTGAGGCCAAAACACCTTCAGGAGTGAAGCTTTCAGCAGTGGACTATGTCAAGCCCTGCACATGCACCTTGACCAGTCTATAAGACCAGTCTCACATGCACCAGCAACTTGTCCTAAACTCAACCCTTCATTCAGCCACAGCTTCCAGAAAACACAGGCCCTTCCTGAGCTGCATGGCCAGGGCTCTTTCCTAGCCCTGATTTCAGCTGCCAGCTGCCCAGATCGAGGCACTGTTGTTTTGCAGGGGAGTGCGCTGCTTATCTTGTGTCTGCTCTCCCTTAACTGTCCTGTCCCTCCTTCATCTGGCTGAACTCAAGAAATGCCATCACTGAATGTCATCAAACATCACTCGTTGTCTTCTGTAGACAGACTAAATACTGGGTATCGCACAGATCAGTTAAAGGGAAGGCAGGGAGGATGGGGAGCTGACCCAGCTTTGCACAGTGATGGAGCCAAGGGACAGAAGTGCCCCTGGCTTGCACCAGGCCAGGAATGCACTGAGCAGGGGCCAGCTGGGTGTTGATCCGTGGGTTGGCCATCAGGCATGTGCAGCACCAGCTGATGGAGCCACGGGCAGCTACTTTTATCCCTACCCAGCCCTGGTGGACACAGCTGTGTCCCTTACCTCAAGCAACAACCTGCTGAGGCAGGAGGGAAAAGAAACTGGGCATGGCAAGCTGCCCATGGGGAGCTCAGGGTTCTTCTCACCGAGGTTTGAGATGATGCTGAAGGCCCTGCTACATAAAGAAGGTATTTGCACCTAGCAAGAAGAAGGCATTTGCACAAAGCTGTCTGCTGAAGCCAAGCATCAAGGAAATGGTGTCAGGCTCAGAGGGGATGCGGTAGGTCTGGAAAGCAGACTGGTCTTTCCTCACTTATCACCTGGAGGAGACAGGTAATTTATCAGCAGCGTGTGAGCTTTTGACATCCCCAGTGTGGCTGCTCGCTGTGAAGAGGAGGAAACCCCAGTGGCTGAGCGCCAGGCTCTACCTTTGGCTCCTGCCCAGCTGCAATTGCAAGCCTCTGCACTGCAGCAGGGCTGCTGTGCCCTGTTATTCCTGAAGGAGTGCCGGGAATCTGATGGGAAACAAAGCCAGCATTTTGTCTCTGGGTGCTGAGGGCTGACTGCAGCCACCTCTGCCACCAGCAGTATAAAAACTGCAGGAGTACAGACACCAGACAGACGGCAATTTCATCAGCCCAGGAATGCGCAGAGCCTGTGCCCTCAGTCTCATATTTCCTCTGCCCTCTGCTCTCTTCTCTTCCCTGTCCAACACAGGTTTCAGCCTGTAACTCTTTGGGGAAGAGATGACCATGCACAAGGCTGGCTGGCTGCTTAGTGAGACCCACCTCAAAAATTTAAGTCGAGCTGCCAAGTGTCTCCAGCAGCACATCAGAGCCACGCAC